GTGGTGGTGGACGAATGACAATGGGTGCTTGTAGGTGACGATGATGGTGGATAGTGGCAAATGGCAGTAGTGGTGGTAGGTGTGGTGAGAGTGGGTGAGAGTGGGTGGTGGCGGTGGTGGGTGATGATGGGTGGTGATGGTTGGTAATGGTAGGTATGGTGGGCGTGAATGATAATGGGTGGCAATGGTGGTGGGTGACGACGGGGGGGTGATGGGTTATGATAGTGGGTAATGGTGGGCAACGATGGCTGCGGTGGGTGCTAACGGTGGCAGTAGGCGACAATGGTGGTGGGATGATGGTGGTAGTGGTAATAAATATAAAAATAAGTAGATAAGGGTAGTGGGTGATGGCGGTGGGTGCAATCAATGATAGGTGGTAGCGATGGTGATGGTGGTGGTGGTTATGGCAAAAATGGTGGCGAAGTGATGACAGTGGCAGTGGCAGTGATAATGGTTATGGTGGTAGGGATGGGCGCAATCAGTGGTGAAGGGTGCAATTGGTGGTGTATGATGGTGATGGTGATGGTGGTGGTAGTTATGGCAGAGATGGTGGTGAGTTGGTGATAGTAGCAATAGTAGTAGTGATGGTGGTAGGGGTGGGACGGTGGCGATAGGCACAATCAGTAGTGGGAGGTAGCAATAGCAGTGACGATGGTAATAGTGGTGGTGGTTGTGGCAGAGATGGTGGTGAGGTGGCAACAATGACAGTGATAGTGGTTGGGGTGGCAGTAGTGGTGGTGGTAGTGGGGGGTGGCGGTAGCAATTGTGGTGGTGAAGTTTTTTATAGTGAAGTGATTTTAATGAAATAGAAGTTAATTTTTTTTGCTTTTACTTATTTATTTAAGTTGTAAAACTACTTTTGATTTATTTGAAAGTAATTAAAATAAATTGTTCAAAATACTACTTTTTTTTAAGCGCTTATGAGAAATCATAAGTCTTAAAAGTACTTTTAAAAAGTTATCACAAACACACACTTAGGGGTCTTATTTTACCTATTAAATTTGGAGAGTAAATATTAGTTGTCGGATTAACTTTAAAATAAAATTTAAAATGATTTCAACCGCAAAAAGTAAACGTTTTGATGTTGTACTTTTATATAGATGTTTATTTGAAAATTATTTTATTTATTTTTTGAGATGAAAAAATATTAATTGAATTTTTTAATTTAAGAATTGTACATGAAAATAATCTCAATCAAATCTGATGACTAAATGCAATTCAAGTTGTTGTTGCTAAAGTTAAAGATAAAAAAAATTGAAATTTAGTTTGACTAAGAAATTGAAATTTTTTTTGGAACAAATATAAAAATAGTAATTTGTGTAAGTTGGATGGTCATAAACAAATAAGGCATAATTAAAAATTTAAGAAAATTATAACCACGTCGGAATAAGAAAATTTAGCAAGTTAGTCATGTTTACAATTCGATTTGGATAGTGAGCTACTCTTGTCCTCTTTGTTTTTATGGTCATTTTGTACACTTTATGAAACAATTTAGCCAAAATCTAACCGAAATAAAAGATGACATCAAATTTAACCCAAAAAAAAATAAAATTGAAAGAGATTCTAAATTTTTTTCAATAATCTAACTTGTACTTATTTTTGGGTATCTAATTTGAAAATCTAATGCACTTTAGTCATTAGATTATTAGTTAATTTTATTCTATGTTAAGACCTACCACTCATCTAATAGTTAAAACGCACTAAATTCTAAAATTAGATCCCAAAATTAAGTGTAATAACATTATTTAAAATTATTTTTGACGTCCTAAAATTTTCTTCCCATTTGGGAGTCCTAAGTAATGCCATTAATGGCCTATGTGTTGGGCCAGCACTAAGTATCATTATACTCTATACTCACGACTTCGTATTAAAAGTTTTCTTAGGTAAATTTCACTGACACTCTCTGAATTTAAGTCATATTTCATTGACATTGTCTCTAATTTCTACAATATCACTGCATACCTTCTAGGGTTATTCACTCTACCCTACAAGTAGAAATTATGATTTTCTAGCTTTCTACTCGATATTTTGCGAAAGAATTTTTTTTTTACCTACCTTACCCGATCAAGTTTAAAATTCCTACCTGAATTCCGTCCTAAATAATCGGGTCAGGAGGTTGGTTAGAAAATCGAGTGAATACGTTTTGTAGTTATTAATTTTTAAATAATTTTAATAATTTCTGTCACTAATGTTCTTAGATTGCAACATCAGCTTTCAAAACACAAAGATTTCAGCAATCAAGGACATAGTTGGACGGGNTAGATTGCAACATCAACTTTCAAAACACGAAGATTTCAGCAATCAAGGACATAGTTGACGGGTAATACTTGTTGTCACAACTCAAACAACCATTCACCCGACAATTTCTACACAAAATAATCTTGAACCAAGATATGTAGAACATAAAACTTCGATTAGAACAGAGGTGTAGTAAACACAGATGATTTGAAACATCATAAAGCAATAAAAACAATTAACTACAATCTGAACAAAATTTTTCATATAATCAGACTTGGACCAATGTGACAATTGGCTAGAGAGAGAGAGAACTTGGGACTTGAAGAGGAGGCNATCTAATCAGACTCGGACCAATGAGACAATTGGCTAGAGAGAGAGAGAACTTGGGACTCGAAGAGGAGGGAGCAAGAGAAGCGAGTGTCTATGAGACTCGAAGAGGAGGAGGTGCTAGGGATCGCAGCAGAGTTGTGGCTTTACTCACAGAAGCATAGCAGAGGGAGGGATTTTAATTTTAGGGTTATATATATATACATGCGGGAAGAGTATGGTAGGAATAAAAAAATTTGGTAAGTATTCCGCATTCCTACTCGATTTTTTTGAAAGACCAAAAATTCTTCTAATAGTCTACCTAATTCTTTTGGGTAGTCGATTAATAAAGTCGTGTAAGGTCAGAATTTGTAGAAAATCAAAAATTTAAACACTTCTAATTCCCTCTATAGTTTGTATCTGCATTCCACTAATTACTCTTACCGTCAACCACGTTATTGACAATAAAACAAATATAAATGATGTGATTGTATACTACCTTATGAATTACCAAACTTACCATTAGCCCTTTATCTAGACCAAGATGGGACCACTACAATTTCATCATCTATTCTTATATAGAGTTGGTCTCCAAGACAACACAAGTAGTTCAATTTGATGATATTGAATATTAATTAGGTGTTCGTTTGATAAAATTAAATATTAATTGAATGAATTAAATGTCAATTCGATGAAGTTGAATGTTAAACTCAATATTAATTTGATAAAATTGAAGGTATATTTGGTCTTAATTTTTTGAAATCGAATATTAACTTAGTATCAATTTGATGTCAAATGATTAAATTGAGAAAATTTGATACTAATTGAATGAAATTGAACGTTAATTCGATAAAATTAAAGGTTAATTTAATAAAATTAAATTTTAAACTGATAAAATAAAAAATTAATTTAGTGTTAATTTGAAAAAATTGAATATTAATTGGACAAAATTGAATGTAGATTTGATGAAATTTAATATAATCTAAGATCAATTTTGTATTGAATTGATAAAATTAAATATTAATTTGAGATAATTTAAGGACAATTTAGTGTTGATTTGCTGAAATTGAATATTAATTTGGTGTTAAATTAGTAAAATCATGTTAATTTGATGACATTAAATGTCAATTTGATAAAATTGAAAGTTAGTTTGATAAAATTAAAAGTTTATTTGGATTTAATTTGAAAAAAAAATTTGAATGTTAATTAGATAAAATTCATTGTTGATTTGACTAGATTGAATATTGATTTGAGGAAACAAAATGTTAGTTTGATAAAATTTAAGGGAGATTTTCTTTTTTATTTAATGAAATAAAATATTAATTTGGTGCAATGGAGTGTTGATTAGATAAAATTGAATATTTATCTAATAGCATTATTGGTCAATTTGTTGTGAATTTTATAATTTGACTATTTTTTATAAAATTGAATTTTAATTGGATATTCATTTGATGAAAGTGGATATTAATTTGATAAATCTATATGTTAATTTGATATAATTAATTGTCAATTTTTTTTAGTGTAATAAAACTGAATATTAATTTGGTGTTGATTTCATAAAATTGTATGTTAATTGAATAAAATTTAATGTTGATTTTCTAAAATTAAATATTTATATGATAAAATTTAAGATCATATGGATATTAATTGGATAAAATTAAATATTAATTTGGTATTAATTTGATGCAATTACAATAATGGTTATATGTGAAATAAACACATAAACTCATCAAAAAAAAAAAAGGTTTTGTGATCATGGTTAGGTCGTAATAGAAATGAATAAGAAAAGAATTAAATAATACGTGGGAGTTCTGTTAAGGGTAATTATGTAAAAATATATTTTTTATTAATGTCGTTAATCAACAAAAGTTGACAGTGTCATGCAGTGATATTTCAGAAATTAGAGATGATGTCAGTGAAATATAACCTAAATTTAAAGGGTGTCAATAAAATCTACCCAATTTTTTTTTTTTTTTGACAAAATGACAAAAATAAAAACATATAAAACCACGGAACATGATATATGGGCAGACATTCCAACAAACAGCTCCATTTGTACCTTATAAATCACAATAGAAAATGACCTTTTAATTATCAATGAGTAGATTCTCCCGTCACTTAAGACCATACGAGTAGATGAAGTCTAAAATAAAAGTTGGATCCTCTAATATGTTTTGGCAGTTCTTATCTCTTCTTCTTTGTAAATAAATACAAAATAGAATACCCTAACATGGTAAGTACCATTAATTTCTGACAGTCTGATTTGTAATTACTAATACTACTCTCCAACAATGAAACAAATAACAATCAACGCCGAGGTGTCAATAGCCACGCTTTTCATTTGAGACAGAGGAGTGTACTCATATGAAGAATCTCTCTCTCAGCCCCTTCTCACACACACATACGGCACACTGTCCCCCCTAGCTCTCCCCAACCCCTAGCCCTCTCTCCCCAACATGGGAAAACCCTACTTTGTAGCTCTTCTCATTCCTATCTTACTCTCTCCCTTTACATCTACATGTAGGTATTCAGCGGCGTCTCCATCCTTTAAATAATTTCTTTTTCATTTTTTTGAATGAGTTAAATTTACATAAGACCGGATCTCAATCGATTGTGACAAAGATACTACTCTACCACTTATAATATCATGGCATATTTAAATTATCTCAAAAAAAGATTCTACTTGGACTTTCAAATATTTTCTTGATTTGATGCACACCCTGTAAAAGCTGTCATGACTTTCTCTCTCATCCACTTTTTCTCGGCATTGCAGGTTCAGATGACACTGGAGGTAGTAGAAGAGCTTGTTGTCCAAGCGATATTCAGATATATCAATGGCCATCAGGGTACACAGGCCTTCACGAACCTGAATTCACCGTGGTAATCGTCAACGAGGCATGGTTGGTTGATGGGGTGTTTGATGTTCAAATTTCTTGTGGTGAGTTTGCATCCACCAAGCTAATCAATCCAATGATTTTCCGGCGTATCGGGTTCGGAAAGTGCCTTCTTAAGGATGGCAAGAAGATAAGTCCTGGTGAAGTAATTTCCTTCCAGTATTCCAATGTGCTTCCTTATACTTTTAGTGTGGTGGAGGTAAAGTGTTAGCAATTCCCCATCTTTGTGGTTAGAGCATGTTTAGGCATGGCCGCATTTTTTCTGTTCAATGTAAAATTTCCCTTTTTCATGTTCAATGTCGATAAAAAGCTTTCGTCATGAAATTTGTTATTATTTTGTTTTCGTTTGTACTAATAGAAAATGCTATCTTATATTGAAACTCAATTAATTTAATGACTGCATTGAATTAATTATTTTATTATATCCCTAAATAAGATAAAATTTAATGCGCATCTGAAACTAAATTGATAAATTATACTTAGATCTTTTATGTTTGTCACCTAATCATTTGGACCCCCTCACATTTAGAATATTACTCCTACACCTCCAATCTTTTGTGCATGTGTAACATATAA